CGGGGAGGGCGGGAAGGAGCGCGGCGCCCAGGAGGGGGCTGCGGAGAAATTCAGGAGAGCGGAGCGCATGGCTCGAAGTTTTGTCGGCCGAATTGGAAAGCAAAGGCGAAGCTGAAAGTTGGGAATCTGTAGCAGGAGAGAAAGCTGTGCAGGGAGTGGTTGGGATGGAGGGAGGGTCCTGAGCAGATTTTTGTTGAAGTGGGGGGCGCAGTTTGGTTTCGAAGATGCAGGTTTAGGTACTGAGTGCATGTTTGAATGTGGTCGTTGTTTCACTCAAGGCCCCTCATTCGGAGGGCGATTTTTAAAGGGCTGTGGGTATTGACAAACCCGGAGGCACAGGGGGTGAGGGGACATTCACCACGGGGATAAAGAAGCAGGGATTTGGGATAAACATGGCATGATGAATTGGGAATGGGTGAACACGCAGAAACTGAAGAAAGCCAAGTTCACTTAGGTTTAGAGGAAAATGGTAAAGAGCAGAGCCATCTAAGTATTATAGTTTTGGGAGCTGATGAGGCCAGGAGGCCTTTGAGGGTCAGAGTGGGTGAGTAGAGACAGGGTTTATCTATGTTGGTCAGGCTGGTCTCGAACTCCGGACCTTAGCTGATCCGTCCACCTCGGCCTCCCAGAGTGCTGGGATTACAGGCGTGAGCCACCGCGCCGGGTCGACTCAAGCCTTTTTGAACCAAGAGTACAAGGAAGGAGTTTAAAGAATTTAGCGGAAAGCAGTTTTTAAAAATTAAGCATAAGAAGTGTTTACTGATCTGTGACTTGCTGACCTGTCCCTATGCAGGCTTGGTTCATATTTGCTTCCTCTTGAGTTTTCAGAGTGTTAAAGCTGGTCTGAATTTAAGACATTCTAACCAAAAACAGCTTCAAAACCAAAGCTGTTTGTCGTTGGTGAGAAAGAATGTAATTCCACTTGTTTCCTTGGTTCTGTCTGTGGTTACAGTATATTATCATTTGAAATATTTCTTGATGTATTTTTCTTTTCTAATTGCAAATTTATGGAGGCTGGTTGATACACTAGCTTGCATGTTCCTATGAGTACATTCATGCTTAACTTAAAGCATTAAAAAAGTTAATACTGCATAAAAAAATCAATACTACAATACTGAAAGTCTTTAATTATGCAAAATGAAAAATTATTTTAGACTATGGTTGTACTTAAATAGATCTGTGGAGCCAATATTAAGATTGTACTGTTTTGTAAATTTTACTTACGTGATATAAAATGATAAATGGGCTGGGCATGGTGGCTCATGCCTGTAGTCCCAGCACTTTGGGAGGCCAGGGTGAGTGGATCACTTGAAGTCAGGAGTTCAAGACCAACCTGGCTAACACAGTGAAACCCCATCTCTACTAAAAATACAAAAATTAGCCGAGTGGCGAACGTCTGTAGTTCCAGCTACTCGGGAGGCTGAGGCAGGAGAATCACTTGAACCCAGGAGGCTGAGGTTGCAGTGAACCGAGATTGCACCATTGCACTCTAGCATGGGTGACAGAGCGAGACTCCATCTCAAAAAAAACAAAATTAAGGCCGGGCACAGTGGCTCACACCTGTAATCCTAACACTTTGGGAGGCCAAGGCGGGCAGATCACGAGGTCAGGAGTTTGAGACCAGTCTGGCCAATATGGTGAAACCCTGGCTCTACTAAAAAATACAAAAATTCGCCGGGCGTGGTGGCGCACGCCTGTAGTCCCAGCTACCTGGGAGGCTGAGGCAAGAGAATCGCTGGAACTCAGGAGGCTGAGGTTGCAGTGAGCCGAGATCTCCCCACTGCACTCCAGCCTGGGTGACAGAGCGAGACTCCCTTTCAAAAATAAAATAAATAAAATGATAAATGATTTTTGGTTGTAGAATTACATATAACTCAAAAACAGTTAAATACATCTTATATGGGACAATTAATGGGTTGCAGTTTATTAAAATACTGCTTTATTCAACACATTTTTAATTCCATAAATATTTGTGTTAATACTCTATTAGATGCAAGGATATAATAGTCAGCAATGAATGAGTAATTAAATTTTCATTTATTATAATGCTAGTAATAATAATATATATAGCATACCTGTCTGTCTATGTGCCAGGCATTCTGAATGTTTTTTGTTTATTTGTCACTCTATAGTTTTTTCCCCAAAAATTCATATTATCTTTTATTCGCTGTGTTAAAATTAGACTAAATAGTCTGTATATTTTACTTGTATCCAGGTGTTCTCCATGTCCCATCTTACTTACAGTTCACATTCGCTTGGATCCTCTTCATTGTTCAAGTAAATACTCTGGGAATCTGGTTTTTAAAAAAATATCTTCCTTGATGCAGTAGAGGGCCAGGGTGTTTATATTTATGCTTTCTGAAAGCAGTGTTAGAGCAAAGAAAGAAGTGACAACCTTGAGTAGAGCAGTATTAACATTTCATTTGGAAACTGCTATGTCTAGCCTGCGTGGACATTTGAAAGCCTGTTTGTAGCCCTACTATTTCATATGAAGATGACTGGACTGAAGTCTGAAATAGCAAGTTACTTTTGTGGATGTGTAATCATCTTCATTTAGTTTGACTTTTTCTTTACAATGCTAAAAATATAAGATAGTGAAAAGGAGTGGCTGGACATCATGACTCACGCCTGTAATCCCAGCACTTTGGGAGGCTGAGGCGGGCGAATCACGAGGCCAGGAGTTTGAGGCCAGCCTGGCCAACGTGGTGAAACCCCCGTCTCTACTCAAAATACAAAAAATTAGCTGGGCGTAGTGGCAGACACCTGTAATCCCAGCTACTTGGGAGGCTGAGGCAGGAGAATTGCCTGAACCCGGGAGGCGGAGGTTGCAATGAGCCGGCATGGCGCCACTGCACTGCAGCCTGGGCAAAAAGAGTGAAACTCTGTCTCAAAAAAAAAGATAGTAAAAAGGAGGCTTGAATTACATCGCAGAGCTTTCCTGTCAGAACTGATAACCTCATTTGTCCATTGCTTTGACCTTTGCTTTTTTCCACCTAGAGATGTGTGGCTTTGTTTTTCCATTATGAAATTATATGGAAAGTTAGCTTTAGGGATAAGGTTGAAGAGATGAGCTAAAATGAATACTGTATTTATCAAGTCATACTTTTCACTCTTACAGTTTAATGCCACTAAAATTGGTATGTCTTAAAATCAGTACATACATTCAATGTGACAGTGTGGTTTTTTTTTTCCCCCCTTGAAAACCTATTGAGTGGTATCTTCAAATATATGGCATCTTAGAATCAGGAAAATATAATATAGATTTTTTATAGATTACATATTTGTATGGTCCTCGATCATTGCTAATATAAATTCTTGAGAGGTGACTGTTGAGAGTTGTATACTTCAGAAATTACTTGAAAATCTATGCAAAATTTTTGTGTAAGTTGTACTTTTATAAACAAAATTCATTTATGGGCACAAAGAGAACATGTTTAATTAAAGTCCTGTAAAGTGATTTATTTGATAAAGAACATTTTTAAAAAGGAAAATGATAGTGTTTTGTAAGAACACGTTTTATGTAACTATTCCCCTCCCAATTTATCACTAAGTGTATATTTTTAGACTCTAATGGAAAAGACCCACTTACCTAGCCCATTGGTCACATATAGTATATCTGTTGACTATCTCAATAGATTTGTTAATTTGATTTCTGAAATTATCCAATTAAATGTTTTAAAGTCCAGTGCTGTTATGTGATTAATCATGCAGGTGTACCTACAAAGGAAGGTTCTTGTGGTTATATTTTCCCCTTGTATTCTTTTAAAATAAAATTAAAGGCCAGGCGCGGTGGCTCAAGCCTGTAATCCCAGCACTTTGGGAGGCCGAGACGGGCAGATCACGAGGTCAGGAGATTGAGACCATCCTGGCTAACACGGTGAAACCCCGTCTCTACTAAAAAGACAAAAAACTAGCCGGGCGAGGTGGCGGGCACCTGTAGGCCCAGCTACTTGGGAGGCTGAGGCAGGAGAATGGCATAAACCTGGGAGGCAGAGCTTGCAGTGAGCTGAGATCCGGCCACTGCACTCCAGCCTGGGCGACAGAGTGAGACTCCATCTCAAAAAAAAAAAAAAAAAATTAAATTAAATTAAAAACAATAATTTGTTTTTGAAGACTTTATTTGATTTTGCATAAATATTCGTTCTTGATGACTGCTTCTAACTTCTACTTTAACCCAGAGCAGGGGAATATTAAAGAGGCATAATGAGGAAGGAATATAGTGATATTTACTAATTGACCTAGATTTATATGTATAAATACTCAAAGTCTGGGGTACATTTTTCTAATAATGCCATTTTTTGTTTTTTTGTTTTGTTTCATTTTGTTTTTGAGACGGAGTCTCCCTCTGTCACCCAGGCTAGAGTGCAGTGGTGCAATCTCGGGTCACTGCAACTCCACCTACTGGGTTCAAGTGATTCTCCTGCCTCAGCCTCCTGAGTAGCTGGGATTACAAGAGCGCACCACCACACCCGGCTTATATTTGTATTTTTAGTAGAGACAGGGTTTCACCATGTTGACCAGGCTGGTCTTGAACTCCTGACCTCGGGTAATCCACCCAGCTTGGCCTCCCAAAGTGTTGGGATTACAGGCATGAGCCACCATGTCCAGCCTAATAATGTCATTTTAAAATATTTTCATTGATTTCACTACTTAACATGACTACAGAATAAATGGTAGTATAGAAATGAGTAAACATTAGATTCATCAGTCTGAATCCGTTAAATGTACAGCTTTTTTTCTCACTATGCCAGTGTTTAAAGATATTTTAGTGAGCACGTAAGTTTGCTATGAAGCTATTTTAAAATATGTTTATTTTATTCATTTTCCACAGTAAAGCTAAGAACATACATCTGATCAGCAGCAACTGATTCGTTTCTCCTTCTTTGACTTCTATGTTTATTTTCACATTTCATAGCCTGAAGTTATTACTAAGAGAAAGGAAAAAACTGTCTTCCACTTCCATGAGAAAGATAAATTATTGTACCACTTTATAACTTGGCAGGAACACTCTGTACTTATAGTATCGTAATCTATCCTACAAGATGATTTATTCTAGGGAGGAAAAGTATAAATTGTACATAGTACATTCCTGTTTAACTTGGAGTTTAGTTTACTATTTTGGAGGTAACTTCTGCATCACATTTTCTAAAACTGGAGCTAGAAGAGGAAGCTAGTCTAATCCTGGGAAATTATTTTGAGACCTTCTCATATATAAGTGTCTTTGTAGGTTCAGCCTATTTTCTAATCCCTAAATCTAAAAGATTGTACAATGCTAACACAGTACTGAAATTCTGCAGAGCTTTCAGGGTTAAACAAAGAAGTGTAGTTTATGATGAATGTGTTATGTTTTGATTTTTACAAAACACTTAAACCATGAGTTATGCATTTGATACTTTAAGGTAACTAGAATTATGAGCTGAATAACACCTTGACCCTAATTTGGAAAAGAGCTTACTTATTTTGGGATGTTTTGAAAATTGCATCATCTTGGGAGAAGAGCGCATTGGTTTACTACTAGGATTGTCAAAACACAAATTGGGGAGTGGAACTTAAAATTGTCTTTTTTTTGGACAAAAGAAGATTTTGCAGGGGTGCCAAAATAATCTTTGATGCTAATAGGTCTTAGTGGTACTTTTGCTTTAGAATAATAAAGGTTAATTGGCTCAGGATACAGATCAAAATAATTTTATACACACATTGCAATAATGTCTTAAATATTTTAAGGACCACCTGTAGAGCTGCGCCAAAGAAAAAAGCCAAAGTCTTCAGAAAATAAGGAATCTGCCAAAGAAGAGAAAATCAGTGACATTCCAGCTCCTGAAAGAGTTCCAAAACGTAAGTTAGACTTGGAATTTGTGCTACTACAAAAATAGTTTACGCTAGAGAGTATATTAATATTTTAAATATACATATTTTGAGATTATGTATATGCTCAGCTTTCGCTAGGTTTTGAACAACCCCCAAATCTCACTGGCTTATGACAAACATTTATTTCTAATTAATATTACATGTTATGGCTGCAGTTTGGCTGTCATAATTTTATGTGTTGTGAAGGAATAGTCCCTATTTGGGAAAAATTTTTCTTGTGACGTAGGAAAAGAGGAGGCAGAATCATGCAATGCCTCTTAAAGTTTCTGCTGACCTAGCACAGTATCACTTGTACGCACCTTTTATTGACCCAAGCAAGTCATATAATCAGTTTAGACGATGGGATGTGAAGTATATTTTCATTACAGGGAAGTGTTCCAGGTCCACATGGTAGTGGGCAGGGATATATAATCTTTTTACTGGGAAGGAGAAAATAGTTGTGAATAATAATATAGTTTACCACATCCTGTCCTTGTGATTTATTTCCCTCCCTCAGACAAAATACACTTACTTTTTCCCACACCCTAAGACTCTGTCTTATCTAGTCACAGCCTTCATCCTGAACCCAAGGGCTTATCCACATCAGGGCCAGCTATGACTCATTCTAATCCAGAGATCTATGAACTGAACAGACAGGTTATCTGTTTTGTGTCAGGGGTTCCCAAGACCACCCCCATGTTTGGTTATTAGCTGGAAGGACTCACAAGTTTCAGAATGAAGTTGTATTTACAGCTATGATTGATTGATTGATTGATTGATTGATTTTTGAGACAGAGTCTCGCTCTGTCACCCAGGCTGGAGTTCAGTGGCATGATCTCAGCTCACTGCAACCTCCGCCTTCTGGGTTCAAGCAATTCTCCTGCCTCAGCCTCCTGAGTAGCTCACGCCACCATGCCTGGCTAATTTTTGTATTTTTGGTAGAGACAGGGTTTCCCCATGTTGGCCAGTCTGGTCTCGAACTCCTGACCTCAAGTGATCCACCTACCTCAGCCTCTCAAAGTGCTGAGATTATAGGCATGAGCCACCGTGCCCAGCCTACAGCTATGATTTATTATAGCAAATAATATAAAACAAAATCAGCAAAGCGAAAAGACCTATTGTGGTGAAATCTGCAAGAAACCAGGCATAGGCTTCCAGATTTCCACTGCAGTAGAGTCACACAGGATGGGCCTGATTCCTTCAGCATCAAATTGTGACATTTGTAAAGTTTTATCTACCAGGGAAGCTCATTAGTGATTCAGTGCTCAGGGTTTTTATCGGGGGCTAGTCATGTAGGTATCCTCTGCCTACCATGTACCAAAATTCTTGACTCCCAGAAAGAAATTATAAACTACATTATTTGTACAAAGAGGATAGGCACTCTTATCAGTTAGAGAATGGTGGGAACTCTCCTGAAATTGAAGTTCCTAGATGCCAGCCAAGAGAGCCTACCTTGCAAGCAGGGCTTTCTTTTTTTCTTTTTTCTTTTTTTTTTCTTTCTTGAGACAGAGTCTCACCCTGCCACCCAGGCAGGAGTGCCATGGTGCAGTCTCTGCTCACTGCAACCTCCACCTTCTGGGTTCAAGCAATTCTTGTGCCTCAGCCTCCCAAGTAGCTGGGATTATAGGCATGTGCCACCACACTTGGTTAATTTTTGTGTTTTTAGTAGAAATGGGGTTTCACCATGTTGGCCAGGCTGGTCAACTCCTGACCTCAGGTGATCCGCCTGCAAGCAGGCCTTTCTCAGGAAAGCGTTCTCAGACCTGCTGTGTTAACTCTTTTCTGCACATCCCCCTGCTCAGTATACATTGTTGGACAGGGACAGGATATCCCCTTACTCTGGGAGAAGGAATCTGTTGTGTTTATGCCCCAGTTGTGTTCCTGGGGAATTGTTTCCCAGTTCATTGTTCTCCATGGTCCTTGATTTTACACTCTGGAGATCTTTTCTCTTCCATTTTCTTCTATAACCATATCTAAAGATGGGTTTGGAGAATGTATCATCCTTAAGGGCTAAACAGCTTTCTCATACTGCTTCCTCTGCACTGAAAGTTGAGGCCTGTATATAAATTTGCTCAAGATAAAGGCTGTGGGTAATAGTTGAGGGGCTGACTACAAGAAAACTATATTTGGGAGCTGGAAAAATGAAGATCTATATTACGTCATGACAAAACATTTGATAATACTGTTTCCTGTGAATAGTTGACAATACTATTTTTTTCTATCATTTTAGGTAATGAGATTGCAAAACAATGTTACTAGAGTGCCTTTGGTATTAACAGCTACATTTGACTACAGGAAAGAGATCTGAGTTTAGAATGGAATTGGTCTATTTGTAAGTGGGAATGAAGAAGAAAATAGAGAATTCCAAAATTCTGGGACTTGTAATGTTGAAGTGAGAACAGTTTATTAACCAGGCAAGGTGGCTCACGCCAGTAATCCCAGCACTTTGGGAAGCTGAGGCAGAGGATTGCTTGAGGTTAGAAGTTCAGGACCATCCTGGACAACATAGTGAGACCCTGTCTTTATTTAAAAAAGAAAAGAAAAAGCCGTTTGTCTTTTTCAACCAATAAAAGTTAAAATCACGAAATGGGAGGCCGGGTACGGTGGCTCAAGCCTGTAATAACAGCACTTTGGGAGGCCGAGGCGGGCGAATCACGAGGTCAGGAGATTGAGGCCATCCTGGCTAACATGGTGAAACCCCGTATCTACTAAAAAAATACAAAAAATTAGCCGGGCATGGTGGCGGGCGCCTGTAGTCCCAGCTTCTTGGGAGGCTGAGACAGGAGAATCGCTTGAACCTGGGAGGCGGAGGTTGCAGCGAGCCGAGATTGTGCCACTGCACTCCAGCCTGGGTGACAGAGCGAGACTCCGTCTCAAAAAAAAAAAAAAAAAAAAAAAAAAAAAAAGAAATGCTTTGAGTAACAGGCTGATTAAGATGAGTCCTTAGTGCAAAGGTCAAATCCAGGGCATAGCTATTGTACAATTTGTTAAAATGTGTGAATAAATTAAGGTAGTTCCTACTAAATCTTGTTGGATACAGGACTTAGAAAAAAAGAACTAAAGCTGTTGGCCCACAAAAGTTTAATAAACTCAAACTATGTATAATGAAGCCTTTGAGAAGGCATATCTAGAAAAGATGTGTAATTTAGCCTTTGAGAGTGGCATATCTAGAATAATTTGTAGCTATAGTTACTGGAACATGGAGCTGACTGAAATCAAGTAGGTAAATCAATAAAATTTTTCTTTTCTTTGCAAAATGAGTGATTTAATTGTTTAAAAGTGAAGTATAATTAACATACAATTAAATGCACAGATTCTTAGTTGTTTAATTAAATGCATTTTGAAATGTGAATGCAGGCAAAACAAACTATAGAACATTACCATTATCTCAGAAAGTTTCCTTGTACCTCATTCCTATTGTTTTGCTAGTTATCACTACTGAAGAATTTCACATGTTCTAGAACTTCATTATAAGTGGAATCCTACATGCTTCAGTGTCCAAATTCTTTCATTCAGCTCAGTATGTTATCTTTGAAAAATGTAATATTTTGTGGCTGGGTGCTTTGGCTCACGCTTGTTAGCCATGCATGTAATGTAATCCTAACATGTTGGGAGGCCGAGGCAGGAGGTTTGCTTGAGTGCAGGAGTTTGAGACCAGCCTGAGCAACAAGGCGAAACCCCATCTCTACAAAAAATATAAAAATTAGCCAGGCATGGTGGCACGTGCTTGTAGTTTCAGCTACTTGGGAGGCTGAGGCGGGAGGATCACTTAAGCCCATGAGATTGAGGCTCTCGTGAGCCATGATCATGCCACTGCACTCTAGTCTGGGTGACTGAATGACACCCTATTTCATAAAAATAAAAATATAATCATTTTGAGATTCATCCATGTTGTATATCTCAATAGTTCATTCTCCTTTATTATTAAGTATATTCCAGTGTTTGAATATATAGTCATGTGTTGCTTAATGACAGGGATATGTTCTGAGAAATGCACCATTAGGTGATTTTGTCATATTCACACAAACTAGACGGTACAGCCTACTACACACCTAGGCTGTGTAGTATAGCCTATTCCTCCTAGGCTACAAACCTGTACAGTATGTTACTGTACTGAATACTGTAGGCAGTTGTAACACAATGGTAAGCATTTGTGTATCTAAATATATCTAAACATCAAAAAGTGCAGTAAAAATATGGTATTACAATCTTATAGGGCCACCATCATATATGCAGTCCATTGTTGACTGAAATGTCATTGTGCAGGGCATGACTATACCATAATTGTTTATCCCTGTTCCTCTTGTTGGACATTTAGGTTGTTTCTAGTATTTAGTTGTTATGAATAAGAATGCTATGAACATTCCTGTACTGGTTTCCTTGAACATATGTTTTCATTTCTGTTAGGTAAATACATAGAAGAATTGCTAGTTAAGCTTTCGAGAGAGCGTACTGTTGAACTGCCAGCCTAGATTCAAACTAACTTTTAACTCTTCAGGTCTTGAAATAAATGACATTTGAGCCCCTAACTACAGATTGAGTAAACTGCTCTCAGGTTCTCTTCTGAGAAGGAGTGAGTGTGTTTTGCTTAGGAGAGAAATGAATATTGTGTATTAAAAATATTTTGGTCAGGAACAGTGGCTCACACCAGTAATCCCAGCACTTTGGAAGGCTGAGACGGGCATATCACTTGAGGTCAGGAGTTTGAGACCAGCCTGGCCAACATGGCGAAACCCTGTCTCTACTAAAAAAAAAAA